AACTACTTTCTTTACTCAACCTGTGATCCTTAAGTAAAAAGAAAACTAAAAAATTAATACTGCAAAAGTCCCTTTTATACTTAGTTCTTTGATGAAAATTTGTAATGCTTGCCAGATTTCAGAGAAAGCAAAATTCTGTCCTAACAGCACTTCATGGTAAAAACAGATTCCTAGATCATCACAAAACACTGTGAAAGTCCTTTAACAGGTAAGAGAGTCAAGAAAAGCTCAAGCCTAAATATAAAGTTGTTTGATACACCTGAATTTACAGGGGCTGGTGCTGTGGAGCAACGGGTGAAAGACCCAGACTGCAGCGCCAGCATCCCATATGGGCACTGGATCTAGACATGCTACTCCACTTTTGATCCAGCTCCCTGCTAATGTGCCTGGGAAAGCAGTGAAGGATGGCTGAAGTCCTTGAGCCCCTGCACCCATGTGGAAGACCTAGAATAAGCTCCTGACGCCTGGGTTTGGATTGAGCTCTCCTCTGACTGGTGCAGCCATTCAGGGAGGCAGATGGAAGACCTCTCCTCTCTGTGTCTACCTCTAATTCTGAATTTACAGAAGCAGGTTATAACATTGCCTCAGGCCCCACATTGTCAGAAACTTCTTCATGAATATGGAAATAAGCAATGGCTAAGTGGCTATTCTAGGAGACATGGAAAGTACCAGAACAAACATTATTGTGAGAAGGAAACAGAGAAAACAGTCACCATCGTGGATAAATATAGGGAAGTAACCTCTTGAAAATACTGCCATCTTACAAACAGAACGTTCGATAGCTGCGCTGAAATGTTTCAGTCACCATACCACTAGTAAACAATAACTTTTTTTATGAAATAGCCTAACTGCAATCCAAAACACCAAATCCCTGTGCATATATAGATCATATACAAAAGAGACAGGCCGGCGCCGCGGCTTACTAGGCTAATCCTCCGCCTTGCGGCGCCGGCACACCGGGTTCTAGTCCCGGTCGGGGCACCGGATTCTGTCCCGGTTGCCCCTCTTCCAGGCCAGCTCTCTGCCGTGGCCAGGGAGTGCAGTGGAGGATGGCCCAAGTGCTTGGGCCCTGCACCCCATGGGAGACCAGGAGAAGTACCTGGCTCCTGCCATCGGATCAGCGCGGTGCGCTGGCCGCAGCGCACTGGCCACGAGGGTCACTGGAGGGTGAACCAACGGCAAAAGGAAGACCTTTCTCTCTCTCTCTCTCTCACTGTCCACTCTGCCTGTCAAAAAAAAAAAAAAAAAAAGTTTTACACTGACTATGAAATACATATTACAATATTTTCACAATTTTCAACAAACCCTACTGTCAGCACAAATATGTTGACTACAATGACTATCAACTGATTAAAAGAATATGAGAGCAAAGCAGCACAGTGACAGCTACTGTCATGTCTACAAGGTCTCCTATATATTTAGTAGGACACATATTTATTTAGTATACAGTCACATTAGAAACCTCATTAACCATAGCACTTAACCAAGAAGTTAGGTGCACAACAGGCACAAAAGAAGTGAGATTAACAAAATAGAATAAGTAGCAGAATTAACATTGGAAACAAGTATAGTAAAAATTCTAAATGTCAAATATTGGTATACAAATGCACAGATGTGTACAGGGTTAAAGCTTTAAGAATAATGAACCAGCAGAAGGGGAAGAGGTGACAAAAAGCACGATCAGACACAGATGTCAGTATAGGCAGTCAACTGCCTAATGTCACAGCTCAGAACAAGTTCTAAAGTTTGTGCCAGAACAACTAAAGTGCTGCTGATGAAACATACAGAAGCAGCGGGCCTGGCTGTGGTCTAGTAGGTTAAGCCTCCACATTCAGGGTGGGCATCCCAGATGGGCACCATTTTGAAAACTGGCTGTTCTACTTCTGATTCAGCTCCCTGATAATTGCCTGCAAAAGCAGCAGAAGGTGGCCCAAGTGCGTGGTCCCCTGCAAAAAGCTCCTGGCTCCTGGCTTCGTATCAGTTGTGGCCATTTGGGGAGTGAACCATCAGATGGAAGATCTCTTTCTTTCATTCATTTTCTCTCTCTCTCTGTAGTTCTGTGTTTTAAAAATTTGTGAACAACAGGTAGCAAGACAATAAGTACAAAATACTAAAGCACAAGATACAGGTTATGTGCATCCTAAGACTGTCAAAAGATATTTACTCACTTCAAAATAGTTCCAATTTAGACAAACTGAGTTGAACCATATCATTTAACTTCGCTTTCCAAGCATTATCCCAAGAGTATAAAATATAGTACTTTGAAAAGCATTATTTGTAGCCTCAAAGTATTTCATTGAATTGCAATACCAAACTTCAGTTCTCCATTATTAGCTTTTTAACCTATTCAATTTAGGCTTTCAACTCTATCAAATGATTTCCTCATTTTACCATATTGTGTAATATGTGTGCATGTGTGCTTTGTGCATGTGTAGATATTCATGGATGTATCAATATGTGTGGGCTTAAGGATACTGTTACAAAACAACAAAAACAAAAAACCCAAACATGGGCAAATTTAAGTTCGCTAGTGATTTTTCAACTCTAACTTAGTATTGATCTTTTTTTCTTCCTCAGGCTATACTTTCTCAGCATTTAAGAGGAAAAAAATACTGTTCCCTAATCACATTTTACACTGACTGTGCTGAACATATCATATGTGTACAATTCCTTTCCTGGAGCATAGAATAAAAATAAATCACTGGACCACCATAACGCAAACAAAACAAATCCTAAGCCAGTCCCTGGAAGGAGTCACTTACTTAACCATTGCGGTATTATGACCCCAGAAGCCCTTAAGCTCCCTCACATTGGCCACATCTGTAACTGAACTGTAACTCTGAGGAAGTTCAAGGACCTAGCATGGTAGTATGGGAAATTCAAACTTTATCAGAATTCTGAAATAGCTGATACACTTGGATGTACTTATATGTAGTTCATAATTCTACAGCTAATTGAAGCAATATATTTACATACACATGCACACAAACACACATTTCCAGGACAAAAATTTACATTTTTTCTTTAATATGGTAGTAGAAAATATACTGAGGCAACTGACTGTCCTACCAGTGGCTAATTTCAAAGTTCAGGGATCACCATATTCAGGTGATCAGGGCAGTCCTGCTTTGGTCCCAAACGTGATTTGTACCACAGAGATTGGGGTGAGAAATTCACTGGCACAGAAATGGAAGAGAGACAAAAGAGAGCAAGAGTGAGGAGATGTACACATAGACACTAACGAAGCACAACGGGCAACGATGAGAGGAATTATGCAGTTAAGTAATACGGAGTGAATGGGGAGTAAAGGTGGAAGAGAATGTGCATGGTTCCAAGGAGGAAGAGGGTATCACAGATAAAGCAACACCTTGAACAAACTCACAGAAGCAAAAAACACAGTTGACTATATCCAGAGTGGAAAAGGTTCTACTGCTAAACACAGAAAATGTTCTTCCAGGAATGAAAAGCTTAGAGTCAGAAAATCCTCACTTATTTTGTAATTCTAGGATCAACCACCCACCAGAATTACCTCCACAGTGTCTTAAAGAAAAGAGGAACTCAAAGGGCATTCATTTCCCTCTTGCACAGATTCCCTTTTGCAGCCTTTTTGGTTGGAAGAGGTATGGAAAGTCACATTCGAGATTCACTAGATAAATAACCATTTTCCTTCAGAGGACACTGGTTGTTGTTTAAGGATGCCATGTCTAAGAGGCTCGAATATTGTTATTCCCATACATACAAAGATCAAAAAGAGCCAAGAAGTCAGATTAGGAAAATCCACACAGGAACAGGAAGCTCACTTGGAATTGTGTGCCCCCATTCAGCACCAATACCAGACTTCATCACATTCTTCCAATGATACTATCCATTCACTTCCAAATGAACAAAGAACAGGAACTTCCAGGCAAGACGCTGAGGAAATATTGTAGTGCCCAAGGACTCAAGAAATGCACCCCAGGCCAGAGAATATCTCCCACTGTCAGTTTGGAAACTTGCATAAATCTTTATCCACCAAAAAAATAATCTGAATTATCTATTCAATTCTCAGAAATCCCCAGAGGATGCCAAAAGTCCATAACATATTAAAATGGAAAGTGAGAGTATTGCAAAAGCTACAATAATCAATGTTTCAGCAAGATATTTAACCTCAAACCCATGGGACAACTTTGTTAAACCAATCCATTTATAAATTTTGCAAGCTACACAGTTGGAAATCAAAACTGCTCTCCAAGGAGAAACTCTGGGCCAATCTATGTTAGTCCACATCAAAACCAACTTCAGGGAAAATAAGGACATCATAGAAAGTGGCTTTCCATACATGTTAGTACAGCCATTCCTTTCAGAAAAGCAAACAAAGATAGGCTATGATGGGAAAAACTAATCAAATTCATGGGCAATTTAAGTATTAGTTACTCTATATGAAAATATCCTTTAATTATTTTGACACTAAGGGGAACATAGTTTGTAGTAAAATAGGGAAAAGAAGAACTTAACATAATGTGATATGGGAATAAACACAAATAATTAATATTCCATCTTTTCATGCAGGCAGAATTCATCTGTATATTGCTTTTATAGAAACTGCTACCATCCTCATATAATTTTTATATTATGATTTTTTTTCTAATTAAAGATGTTTTTAAAAAGGAAGACAATGAGTAAAAGGAAAATTTTAATCTAAACAAGAAGCTTGAATCTGATAATGAATGAATATGAAGGATAAAAGCTAAAAGCAATGACAATGGTGACCAAATTCTGGAAAGATGGTCATATGGCTATATGGTAGTACAGCTATATAATATATGGATATATGAATATATTTCTCCTCTAATATCTATTTTTGTTTTGCTTGCAAAGTATTTATTACCTATGATATCCTAATGACTTATATATACCAAGTGATCAAATTTCCTACCTACTAAAGCAATTTCTGTTTTAAGAACAGTTTCTTTTAACAAACATCTTTACAGAAAAAAAAAAGTCTGAAAAACAGAACTCACCTTCATCACTTGTTGCTTGCTGCTTTACAACAGTCATTGGGGATCTGGCCGGAGGCTTACTCAGCGGATGGCGCCAGCTCTTAGCAGTTTTGGTCTCTCCCTCTATTATCTGATGAAGAATAAAAATGCAGCAGAAACACCCATAATTAAAAACATGTTCAAGCAAAAACAAAAACAAATTGATTTACAATACCTTAATTAAGAAGAAACCTCCAAAAAAACTATCTTTGAAGAAAATTAACTGTGAATTCAGATGACACAGGAAATCATTGCTATTGAAATAAGAGGTCAATTAACTCTCCTTCCACCTTCTTTTAAATTAATGCAAATTAGGAATAAGTGGGATCAGAAGCAGGCCAGCTGGGATTTGAACTGATACGCAATACTTTCATCCGAGGCAGTGGCTTAACTTCCTGTGCCACAACAATGCGTTACACTTCCTCTTAAAGTATTAAGTGCAGTGCACTTTATCAAATCTGCAATAAGCTGAGCAGCTGATAATTTTTGAAAAGTTCTTTAAAAACAAGCCTAAATTTAGAATTATATGGTCATAAAAATATAAGGACCATGTCCTTTAGACACAGATATTCCCCTAGGAATATCTGGCAGGGGATTTTGCTCTTTCCCATCATAGAGAAGAGAGTTCTGCCAAATTAAGGATGATCATTTCCATCAGAAATGAATCACCATGCCTGGGCCAAAAGGGTCAAACAAGAAGACTTTAGCAGTAGGAGCTACAGCAGTTCCCAGTTCTCAAGCAGCAAACATAATACCAGTAAAGGAAGATGGATACAAATCAAGTAAAAAGTAAATATGATGGGGTTGGTGCTGTGGCACAGCGGGTAAAGTTGCCACTTGCAATGACAGGACCCCATATGGGTGCCGGTTTGAGACCTGGTGGCTCCACTTCAGATCCAGCTTTCCGCTATGGCCTGGGAAAGTAGTAGAAGATGGCCCAAGTCCTTGGACCCCTGCACCCAAGACCCGGAGGAAGCTCATGTCTCCTGGATTCGGATCATCCCAGCTCCGGCCATTTGGCCAACTGGGGAGTGAACCAGAGGATAGAAGACCTCACTCTCTGCCTCTCTTTCTCTCTCTGTGTAACTCTGACTTTCAAATAAATATATAAATCTTTTAAAAAAATGTATTCTCACCAAAGAGTGAACACAACAAAAATTAATATTGCCACATACACTGGGGACTTTGAAGCCATTGCTCTCTCCACTAGGTACCACAGGGATGTCCCCTGGTGCCAGGCCACTTCCCCGGCTCTCCACATCACTCTCTTCTCCCTCTGTTAACACGCCATTGCTCTCTGCCACCGACAAACACGATTCAGGAGACTTTGGCCATGAAGGCTTGGGTGGGGCTGATTCCTCAACCTTCACATGGCCACGAGACAATGGGATAGAATCATCAGATGCATTGGGTTTGGAAGATACAGTCATGGTGTAGGTTTTGTCATCCTCTGCTCTTACTTCCTCCATTATAGATGCATTTGAGCAGCAGTTTCCTAAAGAGTAAAACAAAAGACTGTTGACAATTCTTGCATTGAATTATTTCTAAATAAAATTGTTAAACTCTTCCCAAATGACTTTTTTTTCAACTTCTTGAGTAAACGTCCACAGCCATGAATGGGAAAGGTCACCTATGAAAGCTAAGGTGAGACCATAAAGAAAATACTGCCAAAAGATATTATTTCATTTATTCCTGAACACTAATTATTTACTTAAGGTGTACAAAGCAATATTTTGATACATGCATCAAACTAAATTACTTAGCACAGCCCTTACCTCAAATATTTACCATGTTTGTGATAAGCATTTCTATTTGCCTACAGCATGCATGTGTGGGTACAAGAGTACATACACACACACACACAAATACACACACACACTGCAGTGTCATTTCAACCTGATTCTGAACCCAGAGATGTCTTCTACTTCTCTGTGTTATGCCAGAATTCAAAACCTGGAGGTCAAGATGCCAAGCACAATATAGCAACAAAATTACTGAATTTAGTTCCTCTTTGCCAAAACATCCAGGAATTCATAAAGTATTACACAACCCAGTGTTGTATAAACCATCAAGAAGGACTACAAAAAATTATCCATTGGTATTGCACAACCATCTTCTCTGTATTTGTTGCAATCCTTCTCCTCGTCCATCATAACTCAATTCAGATAGCACCAACAACAGGAAAGCTTGCCTCCCCAGCAACTGTCTGAGTTCTTCTTGGGTAAATCAGCAATACACTACTCCATCTTTATAATGTTACTTACTTATCATTATAGGTTGTAATTAAATATTTATATAGATCTCCAGTGAACTGTGCAAGACCTAAGCATATTTTTCATTCTTTTTCAAAAAAAGCACAATGACTACAATACACAGAACTGAATAGCAGTGGTGACTAGAGTGGATACTATAAAAAAACCAGCATGGGAGCAATTTCTGCAATAGTCCAGGCCAACTGACATGGTGGCTTAACAGAAGCAAAAAAAACATGTTGAATTTGGAGTAGACCCACAATTGAAGGTTTATGGTATGAGGAATTACCAAGAAGCTTGATTATTAAAAGGATAGAAACTCCAACAAATATTAAAATAATGTATTACAGAGTTTCAGAATAATTATGCTAAAAGGGAATAAAAGTAGCAGAGACTTTTCAGGTGAGTTTTAGAACAGGAGCAGGCAGAGAGATGTACATAACATTTCACCAGCCAGGCTTTGTATGTTGTTTTTCTTTTTTTTTTAACTTTTATTTAATGAATATAAATTTCCAAAGTACGACTTATGGATTACAATGGCTTCCCCCCCATAACGTCCCTCCCACCCGCAACCTTCCCCTTTCCCATTCCCTCTCCCCTTCCATTCACATGAGGATTCATTTTCAATTCTCTTTATATACAGAAGATCAGTTTAGCATACATTAAGTAAAGATTTCAACAGTTTGCTCCCACACAGAAACATAAAGTAAAAAATAATAGATGATTTTTTAAATGATGATGAAATCAGATCAGACCTATTGTCATGTTTAATCCCAGTGAGAGTCAAGTTGGGAATTGATAATTTCTTCTTTTTTTTTTTTTTAACAGAAGATCAGTTTAGTATACATTAAGTAAAGATTTCAACAGTTTGCACCCCCATAGAAACACAAAGTGAAATATACTGTTTGAGTACTCGTTATAGCATTAAGCCTCAATGTACAGCACATTAAGGACAGAGATCCTACATGAGGAGTAAGTGCACAGTGACTCCTGTTGTTGACTTTACAAATTGACACTCCCGTTTATGGCATCAGTAATCTCCCTATGCAACAGTCATGAGTTTCCAAGGCTATGGAAGCCCCTTGAGTTCTCCGACTCTTATCTTGTTTAGACAAGGTCATAGTCAAAGTGGAGGTTCTCTCCTCCCTTCAGAGAAAGGTACCTCCTTCTTTGAAGATCTGTTCCTTCCACTGGGATCTCACTCACAGAGATCTTTCATTTAGGTGTTTTTTTTTTTTTTTTTTTTTTTTTTTTTTTTTTTCCCCCCCCAGAGTGTCTTGGCTTTCCATGCCTGAAATACTCTCATGGGCTTTTCAGCCAGATCGGAATGCCTTTAGGGCTGATTCTGAGGCCAGAGTGCTGTTTAGGACATCCGCCATTCTATGAGTCTGCTGAGTATCTCGCTTTCCATGTTGGATCACTCTTCCCTTTATTTATTCTATCGGTTAGTATTAGCAGGTACTAGACTTGTTTATGTGCTCCCTTTGACTCTATGTTTTTCTTTTTAATATCTTTTTTTTTTTTTTTTTTTTTTTTTTTTTTTTTTTTTTGGACAGGCAGAGTGGACAGTGAGAGAGAGACACAGAGAGAAAGGTCTTCCTTTTGCCGTTGGTTCACCCTCCAACGGCCGCCGCGGCTGGCGCACCGCGCTAATCCGAAGGCAGGAGCCAGGTGCTTCTCCTGGTCTCCCATGGGGTGCAGGGCCCAAACACTTGGGCCATCCTCCACTGCACTCCCTGGCCACAGCAGAGAGCTGGACTGGAAGAGGGGCAACCGGGACAGAATCCGGCGCCCCGACCGGGACTAGAACCCGGTGTGCCAGCGCCGCTAGGTGGAGGATTAGCCTATTGAGCCACGGCACCAGCCCTTTTTAATATCTTAATCTTTATCTTTTTCTTAACATTAAGCAGAAAGCTGAGAATCTGCAAAGAATTATCTATAATTGTTTTTCTCTACTTCATATAAATTCAAGAGAAGCTTTCTAACAATTTATTGTATATTGTAAATTTAGTTACACTAAAAATTTTTTTTCATTTTAAAATCTTTTTTATTAAACCAAATAGGCATGGTGGCTATCTGTCTCACAGCAATACTCATGCCTTTTATAACATTCCCTTGGCTTCCTTGTTGAATAACACAGTAACTCTATATAACAACTAGTTAAGCTATGTGGACTACTCAGATATCTGTCTTAGTAAACACAGATTTAAGGGATCAGAACACCAAATATCCACACATGTATGTGCAATATAATTGGCCATTTTCCTACCTGAGAGTGAGATATCATCTGATAAAGTGGGATCCACCTGCATGCTCCTGGAAGAGGCCCCTTCTATGATTCCCAGCCTCGCTGTCTCTTCAGAGTTTACGTGAACTTTGGATTCATCTGTGTCTGGGTCAAGGTTAGAGATTTCTGCCCCATCAGCATCAGCTGAGACTTCCTCATCCTCCTCAGCCTTATGCCTTTTAGTGTGACACCTAGTGCTCTGGAAGCTATTAACAGGATAAGTAGAGGTGAGAACAGAGAATTGTAATGAATATAAAAAAGCACATCCCAATACAAATGTCATTTCATTTGCTTAACAAAGAAAAAACTAAGTTCTTAAGTTACTATGCAAAGAAAATCTTTACAGTTAATAGCTGAAGTCTAAAATTGAAATTTTAAATTCTAATATCAGAACAAAAAATTAAAATTCAATTAAATAAACATAAATGACAGAAAGTGAAATCAAAAAATAAAATATTAATTAGATAATGAAGAAAGTAAAGGAAAATCAGAAAAACTAGAAAGTGGTTCAAATCTAAGCAAATTATTTTTTTTCGAAGTGAATTTGACAATTATTTATCTGAGCTTTCTATCATCATAAAGCATTCATGAAAATGTCATAGATTAAGTCATCAGTAGTTCAAAGGAATTATAAGAATGTTCATGGCATTTATTTTATATTTTATAACAACTACTGGACATTATTTCATTTTCTTCCTCCTTTAGTATTTTTCAGCCAGTCATTTGACTACTTTGATATTTATACCTAATATACATTGTAACTATTAGAAACTATTAGATTTCAATTTGAGTCCAAAGCAAAGACACATGCACGCATGCACACACACACACACATGAACTCACACCATATTTTCTACACATGCATGTGACAAACAGCAATGTTGGAAGTCAGGGAGGGCAAAGATGAAAGCTAAAGGGAATAGCCGATAACACCCACTATGAATTAGCATTAGCAGCTGCTGATGGCAGCAATAGTAAGCATCATCATTTTTACCATCACTTTTATTTAGGATCTGTGCCCTGGCCCAGATTTTTTTGTGGAAAAGCTCTACATTATGTATGAACCTAATAGTACAGAGAGCTGACTTCTCATTGGTGCAAGTTCTCTAAAAAGAAGGTATTACTTAAGGGAAACCAGCACGCTCTATAAAATATAAGGCTTATAATATTAAATAAGCTTCTTCGGAGGAGTCCTTCTAATTTGTTCTAAAAATATGTCTTCTAAAGTGAAGACAGGATATTGTCTACTTCCAAAGCTGGCATTTTTGTGAATATACTTTAGGACATTTACAAATACACGTACCCTCCAAATTAATATTATTAAATCCTGAATGCAACTCATACTAAGTCATACACTAGATGATGTCACAATAGACACATATAGACATGTCCATACTTGTCATAAATCAGTACTTACCCTTAGCACATGGGAAGGACTATGACACTGGTATAATAATTATAATAATTATATACTTCCTATCATAAATATTGGTCCTGACATAATACACTGAATTTAACTGATTTAACAGTTTGAAAATCACCACTATAAACTGTAGTGTAAAATATCAAACTCTGAGCTTTTAGAGGTAATGAGTTCTGTGCCTCACTTCTATGCCTCATAAAATGCGGAAGTTCTACTCCATGATCTTAAGGTTTCTTCACTCACTACTATTCTAAAATAACAAAAACTAAAGGTCAGGAAAGAAGAAAATCAGGAAATAAGCATCAGAAGTGTGGGCACAGATGTAAAATTACAAGTTGTTTGATTATGGCAAGGAAAAAATGAAAAGGAAATAGGCCAACAAGTCCAACAGGGTATCTGATAAATACATGCAGGCATTAAAAATTACCTTGTAGCAAATATTAATTACATGAAAAAAATGCTCATAACTTAATAGAGCATGGCCCCAATTTTTGAAATATATATGATATTACATAATATATAATATATATAAATGTAAAGGATATATACAATATGTTAACACTGGTTATCTCTGGACAGATTGCTTATGGGTGATTTGGGATTCCTTCATTATTCTGTTCCTTATTTTAGAAATTTTCTCCAATGCTCAAATATTACTTTTACAATCTGAAAGAAAAACAATGAGTAATACTGTAGAAGAAAATATTACATATACAAACAGAAAATATGAGAACCTTACAAGGTAGCTAAAGGGCCAAAGCAACACCAAACATAACCCAGCAGCAAGGGTATTAAAACAGTAAGATGCCCACAGCAGATGTGAACGCTGTTGAAATGGCCCAGAATACAAAAATGGAATGGAAAAGAACACCCATGTCACAGAAACACCACATGCTCTGCTTTTATCTAATTTAAGAAAAAAAAAAGTATAGAGAATGTGGTAAAATATAAGTATCCCATTGAGAAAAGCAGCACTTCAGATGCCTAATGAAAGAAGAAGATAAGTATTGAAGGCAGAAAGAAAATTGGTAGGAAAATGAAAATTTTTAAAATCAAGTCAATGAAGCTAATGGATATGAATGGAGCTCATCAATCCAACTTCAAAATTCTTTACTATGGGGAGTCAAATTCTATATTGTTCTATTTGCCATGTATATTTACTTCAGGATTGTTCTCAAATGCTATACACCTTTTCCTATGCTCCATTTATCATATAGAGTGAGAATTCAAAATATGGTACCTTAAATTTTCAATAAAATTCTAAGTAAATTTATGATGAATTGGTAGTTTCAAATCAAACAGCCCCTGAAACCATCACAGTCAATGAGTCATTGTCACTTTACTAAGTACTAAAAGAAGGAAGTGAGAGGGAGATTATTACCTCCTGGGTGCTTTTCTTACTTTCCTCCTTCTCTGCAGCCATGCCTTTACCTCCGGGGTGGATTCGGGAGTAGGCTTCGTGTGATCGATGGTGTATATATCTTTTCCTTGTTTCCAAAGCTGATATCTGTCTGGCTGAAATTTCCTCACAAAGATATCCATGGAAATTTTCACCATGTCTTTCCTACAAGTGCACTGAAACACAATAGAGTTGGAGTGTGTTAAACATTTTGATAGGTATGTAAAGTAAGAGTCAACCAGAATTGTATAATATTGGAAAATGTACTCACTACATGTCTCAAAATGCTTTATATTCTCAAACATGCAGAAAGTGATTAACCAAATTTCTTTGGAGTGGAAGTTTGAATCTACACATTCACATTTATAAATGGGAAAACAAGATGACAAATTGCTTTGTATACTTCAAAGGGAAATGTGTACCACAAACATATTTATTAGGAAGAAGGTAGCACTGAGTTTTTAAAAAATAGGGAGCAAGTATGTTTGGGTGGGGTTAACGCTGTGGCACAGGGGGTTGAGCCATCACCTGCAGCACCAGCATCCCTGCAGTCCTAGATGCCATTTCAATTCAATTCCCTGCAAATGTTCCTCAGAAATCAGTGGAACAAATCAGTGGGCCACTGCTACCCATGTGTGAAACCTGGAGGAAGCTACCCACGTGTGGAACCTGGCCAGGAGCAATTGGGGGAGTGAATAAGAGAATGGAAGATCGCTCTCTATCTCTTTCTCTCAGTAACTCTTTCAAATAAATTTTTTTAAAAAGGTTATTTTTGACCCTCCATACCTTGATTCTCATGAATAGACAGTTAGAAGTAACATTTTATAAAACAAGTCTCCTATGATGATTTCACACAAGGTTTAATTACGTCTAGGCCAACACGCTACAAATTAGGGAAGAAACAATCTGATAAATTTAACTGATGTACAGCACAATCCCTAGCACACCTGGCAAAAATCTGGTTTACAGAACAATAGATTTGAGCAGAGAACTGGAACAGAGGTGGAACAGCCAGGATTCAAAACAGTGCTTATATAGAATGCCAACATTGCAGATAGCAACTTAATCTGCTAAACCAGAACACTGGCCCTGATTCTGAAAATTTAAAATTTTAGCAGAACATAAATCCTTTGATTAAGGGGAAAAAAATAACAACTTAGAAAAACCAGGAGCAAATTCTTTATTTTCCTACTATGTTACTGATATTTCATCATTAAGAAAAAACAGTGGACAACAATGCAGTTCCACTTCCTTCTAATGAGCCATTTAAGAGAGAATATGATTTCAATTGCAGCAGCTCTAATCGACATGATCAACATTGTGCAAAACAGCAATTTCAAGTAGAATATCTTGGGGGTGGAAAAAAACTGAGTGTTTATCTTGTTTTGGCAAATGGTGCTATGACACCTTACTTGGAAAGGAGGCGTTGTACACAGCCATTAAGCCACTGGTAGGGATGCCCTGATACCACATTGAATGCCAGTTCAACTGCTAGCTCCTGCTTCCTGCAAATGCATCATGGAGACCTGGATGGAATTCTAGGCTCCCAAGTTCACCTTGCAAAGCCCTAGCTGTGGCAGGTATTTGGGGAGTGAACCACATATGGAAGATCTCTCTCTTACTCATTTCTAATAAAAAAATAAAATAAAAAAGAAAGAAATAGATTATCTAAAATAGGGACATCTAATATATATATATATATATATATATATATATATATAATATATATATATATATATATATATTCAAAGTTAGGGATAAACTATTGAACTTGGGGAAACCAAGAATATTCAACCCATGGTCAAACAGGAGTATGACCAGAGACTGGTGTAGCTGGACATACTTTTGCTAAATAGATTAGAAATGAGGCTGTGGATCCAATGAAGCATCTCAGCAGAAGCCAAGTATGTAAATATGCCTATCCAGGAAGATCAGTACAGGACATACTTATTTTATGGAAGCACAGAAGACTAAAAAAAATTTTGACAATTCTATAATTGCAGAAGTGCTGCTAGTTTGTACTAAAAGGGGCAAAGATATGACAGAATGAAGGAAAAATGATTCTACGTGTAGAGGACTGAAACCAACAGGATTTCACTAAGCTGTTAAAGCAGTTCTAACAAACTGCTATTGTATGGGTGTAGAAAGGTGCTATTAAAAGCTTTAAAATTCATTAACTGAACATTAAATCAAACAGAAAAATCACTCATATAAATTTTGTCTACATAACTCAACCTCACCAATTTATAAGAGAAAATACACAAAAAAAGATTATTCCTTAGAAGGTATTTGAGGGATTATCATAAATTCAAAATGAGTAAGAGAAAACATTCTATCAAATTGCTCAGAGGCTATAAAATCCATGATGCAACATACTTCAATAATTAAAACATGGACCCCCAGATTCCACAGAGACTAGTTAACAGAACCATGTATTTGCCCTCTTTGTCCAATAGTGTCCCCATTTGAAAACCTGGGAACAACAAGGAGCTAACAACAGTATCAACCGTTTTGTCTTGCAGAAAACTTCTACAAACAGTATATGAATTCTTATTCATAAAATATGACATGTTTTGATTTAGTATATGTTTTGTTTTAGTATATGTTTTATACAAATTGCTTTAAATTGGACTGGCCACAAAAACATAGATTCTGAGTGTTCTAGTTCATGTTACTAAAAAAGTTGAACTAATTAAATAAGTAAGAATGAGGATACTATGTTTACCAAATGGTCTTTAAGAGTAAAGAACTGGGGGTTGGCACTTTGGTGCAGGAGATTAAATTGCCACTTGCAATGCTGGCATCCCCAGGAGTGCCAGCTAGTGCAGTTGCTCCAATTCCAATCTAGCTAATTGCTACACTGCCTGGGAAAGCAATGGAGAATGGCCCAAGGTTCTGGGGCCCCTGCTGCCCATGTTGGAAACAGTGAAAAAGCTCCTAGATCCTGGCTGCTACCTGGCCCAGACCTGGCCATGACAGATATGTGGGGAGTGAACCAAAGGATGGAAGAACTCTCTTCCTGTCTCACCGTTTCTCTTTAACTCTGTCAAATAAAATAAAAAGACTCAAGAACTGGGTTGTGAAGAATCACACAAAGCAATAATTGGAAATCTGAGGGACAGAGAGACAAAGAGAAATAATGACTGTTTGGGGTGAAATGAATACAGTGCATATTAAGTTCCTGCTTGGATTATATATTGCAAACAATTCACCAAACATCTAAAACTGGAGGGTTGTAGAAAACATGCATTAATAACTGATTTAAAATCAAAAGGGGTCAGAGCTGTAGTGTAGCAGGGAAAACCGTCCATGCCAGCATCCTATATGGGTGCCGGTTCAACTCCTGGCTGCTCCACTTCCGATCCAGCTCTCTGCTATAGCCTGGAAAAGCAGCAGAAGATGGCTGAAGCCCTTGGGCTTCTGCAACTGCATGGGAGACCTGGAAGAAGCTCTTGGCTCCTGGCTTGGGATCGGCACAGCTCCAGCCATTGCGGTCAACTAGGGAGTGAACCAGCAGATGGAAGACCGCTCTGTCTTTCTCTCTCTCTCTCCCTGCCTGTGCATCTCTCTCTGTGTAACTCTGACTTTCAAGTAAAATAAATAAATCTTAAAAAAAAAAAAAAAAGAATTACTGCCTTTTCTATAAATTAATAGAGCAACAATTAAGAAAAAGACTTAAGGTACAGGATGACTTAAATGTACATGACACAACCATCATAAAGTAGAAGCCAAAGACTGCAAATTATACTTTTGAGGATTTTAAAATGACCAAATGAAGTGCATATTTTTGTCTTCTGGTAATTTATGAGTTAGTGTGCCTTTAAGGTTATTGTGTCCTACATATCTAGTAAACCTAAGATACTCTCCAGTGGAATAACCACTATAATTGTACTTAACAATATAAATGATTCATAATAAAATTGTTTTTTAAATAAACAAAGCAGAATATTTATTGCTATTTCCATAAGAAATTTAAATTTAAATAATTGAAAAAGGCAAAATCTGAAACACTATGTTTTTAATTAAAATCTAACCAGCTTCAAAAAACATATTGCTCCAGCACTTTATCACCTAATTATCTTCAAGACACAAATTGCTACACTAACCAAAACTATAATGGAAAACCATCAACTTTGCTAGGTTATCCAACACATAGCAAAACTGACTGCTATCCCTCAGTATATAATCTATGAAAATGCTATGAATTTTTGAAATTTGAAGTGTGCGTTATGGTGCACACAGGCTGCAGCACAGAAAATCAAGCTACAACTTGATACACCTGCATCCCATATCAAGGTGCCAGTTAAGTACCAGCCACTCCATTCCAATCTAGCTTCTTGTTAATATGCTTGGGAGATGGCAGATGATGGTCTAAGTGCTTTGGTTCCCGACACACTTGTGGAGACCTGTAATAAATTTCAGCATGCTAGCTTCACCCTGACCCAGGCCTGTCTGTTGTTGTCATTACAGGGGAGTGAAATCAGAAATGGAAAAATCTCCCCCCCCCATCATTCTTTCTCATGGAAACTCTGCCCTTTTAAAACTAAATCATGACTCCAAAGGCAAAAAAATTTAATCCAAAATTTTTTTTTTTTAAGATTTATTTTATTTATTTGAAAGACAGAGTTACAGAGAGAAGTAGAGACAGAGAGAGATGACTTCCCTCCGCTGGTTCACTCCGCAGATGGCCACAACGTCTGGAGCTACGCCGATCCGAAGCCAGGAGCCAGGAGCTTCTTCCGGGTCTCCCATGTGGGTGCATGAGCCCAAGTACCTGGGCCATCTTCTACTGCTTTCCCAGTCCATAGCAGAGAGCTGGATCGGAAGAGGGGCAGCCGGGACTAGAACTGGCGCCCATATGGGATGCCGGCACTTCAGGCCAGGACTTTAACCCACTGCGCCACAGTGCCAGCCACTAATCCAAAATGTTAAATGCAATAGCCACTCATTGCTTGAGAACCAAGCAGTTTGTATTTTAAAAATTGCCTTCCAATGAGGGCAAATATTTTTTCAGAACAAATAAAAGTATGATTCTCCATTTCATAATTTTTTGACTTGCTTTATTTAGCTAACACACTAAGAATAAAGAACGTGACATTTGCTTTAATATAATAGAGGAATCAATTATTTGTCATTTATACACTAGGTAGTAACTAAGTCCCTCATTTAACAAGGA